CGAATTCGAAGTAAGACGAATTTATACAAAATTTTTTACAAGTAATGCTGGGCTGTTGTGAACAAAACTTTCGCCCCAGGCGGGACTAGAACCCGCACCTCTCGCTTTCCGGGCAAGTGCGCTACCAGTTACGCTACCGGGGCACCATTTCATTCCAACTCAGCTTTTCATGGTATACTTTTTATATATCTATATATTTTTATAATTTTCATGGTACAGTTTCATTCACAACCCAGCATTTGTGAAACATTCGCAAGGCGAACTGCGGCCAAAAGCAACAGCTAACAAGTCTCCCTATTCTGTTTCCTTGCAGAAGAATCGAGAAGAACCAAATCCTTATCTATGCCCTGGCAATTATTCCGGTGAAAGCTAGGAGTTAACTAATTGATTATTTTGATAAGCCGGAACGATGCCGAATTTGAAATGAAGAGCTCTTGGAATAGTTCACCAGTTCAGCAGGTGTGCTCACTGTCTCAGTCAGCAGCGATGGTCGCAACGGATTTGACCCTCCTCTTTTGATAGCGGCGATGATATCTGAAATTATGCCTTTCCAAACCGCAATTTCATATATTTAAAATATGATAATGGATGCTTCAAACCTTCAATATCCTCGTTTTCGCCATAAATGCTCCATGCAGGAGTTTTCCTGATTACTTCTGATGCAACTATCGCAAACGAATAGATGTCGGCAGATTTTGATGGCCCTTGCTGAGGTGAATTCATCAATTCGGGTGCCATCCATATTTTGTCTGAAAAACAAATGTTTGAGTTCAGCTTCTACCATTTTCACTCTCTCCCCTTTTTCATTTCCTTTATGTAATTCATGATAATATCCTCGTAGTGTCATATACCACGGAAACGTAGACTTGGTGTCATTCATGAATAAATAAAAATACAAACACAGTAAGGCTGGATAGTCTTACGTTGATCAGCAACTCGAACAAGCTCGGAAAGTCCGCAGTCACATACTTTAACTTGAAATGAGTCTGTTACAAGGCAGCTAGCTGATGTGAGACGACCATGACAACCGAGAAAGGAGTGGTGTATATAATTGAGACCCTGCAAAATTCAAAGAAAAGAATCTTGTGGATGAAATCGAAATTAAAGTGGTAACAGTTCTGCACGGAAAGTTGGAATGAAAATGTGAAATCGCACACTAGTCGCAGCCAAATCGAGAGTGAATTGGGAGTGAATTCAGGAGTGCGCGCCTCTATAGCTCAGTGGCAGAGCGTCTGTCTCGTAAACAGAAGGTCTGCGGTTCAATCCCGCATGGAGGCAACGTTTTGCAAAGCGAGCGATGGCGTTTGTCAGGGAGAGATCTTGGCCCCTGCTGATAAAATCCCTTGCTTTCGATCACAAAGAGCAGAGACATCATTTCGAGCTAAATCGAAAGCGAATTGGGAGTGAATTCAGGAGTGCGCGCCTCTATAGCTCAGTGGCAGAGCGTCTGTCTCGAACTAGAAGTCCGGTCCAATCCCAGCATGGAGGCTAACGTTTTGCAAAGCGACGTGGCGTGGTCCAAGGGGAGACCTTGCCCTGCTGACAAAATCCCTGCTTCGAATCACTAAAAGGCACAGACATGTTCCTTGGAGCCTAAACAGAGAGGAATTGAGAATTCACGAGTGCGCGGCCTCTAAGCTCAGTGGCAGAGCGTCGTCTGCGAAACAAGAAAGGCTGCGTCATCCCGCCATGAGGCAATACGATGCACAGCGAGCGCATGCTTAGTCAGGAAGTAATCTGCCCTCGACAACCCCCTCTTGCCTCGATCGTCACCAAAGCAGAGACATCATTTCGAGCTGAATCGAAAGTGAATTGGGAGTGAATTCAGGAGTGCGCGCCTCTATAGCTCAGTGGCAGAGCGTCTGTCTCGTAAACAGAAGGTCTGCGGTTCAATCCCGCATGGAGGCAACGTTTTGCAAAGCGAGCGATGGCGTTTGTCAGAGAGAGATCTTGCCCCTGCTGAGACAAAATCCCTTGCTTTCGACGATCACATGGAGCAGAGACATCCTTTCGAGCTAAATCGAAAGTGAATTGGGAGTGAATTCAGGAGTGCGCGCCTCTATAGCTCAGTGGCAGAGCGTCTGTCTCGTAAACAGAAGGTCTGCGGTTCAATCCCGCATGGAGGCAACGTTTTGCAAAGCGAGCGATGGCGTTGGCCAGGGAGAGATCTTGGCCCCTGCTGATAAAACCTGCTCGGTTTCGATCACATGGAGCAGAGACATCATTTCGAGCTAAATCGAAAGTGAATTGGGAGTGAATTTAGGAGTGCGCGCCTCTATAGCTCAGTGGCAGAGCGTCTGTCTCGTAAACAGAAGGTCTGCGGTTCAATCCCGCATGGAGGCAACGTTTTGCAAAGGGAGCGATGGCGTTGCCAGGTAGAATCTGGCCCCTGCTGACAAAATCCCTTGCTTTCGATCACATGGAGCAGAGACATCATTTCGAGCTAAATCGAAAGTGAATTGGGAGTGAATTCAGGAGTGCGCGCCTCTATAGCTCAGTGGCAGAGCGTCTGTCTCGTAAACAGAAGGTCTGCGGTTCAATCCCGCATGGAGGCAACGTTTTGCAAAGCGAGCGATGGCGTTGGCCAGGGAGAGATCTTGGCCCCTGCTGATAAAACCTGCTCGGTTTCGATCACATGGAGCAGAGACATCATTTCGAGCTAAATCGAAAGTGAATTGGGAGTGAATTCAGGAGTGCGCGCCTCTATAGCTCAGTGGCAGAGCGTCTGTCTCGTAAACAGAAGGTCTGCGGTTCAATCCCGCATGGAGGCAACGTTTTGCAAAGCGAGCGATGGCGTTGGCCAGGGAGAGATCTTGGCCCCTGCTGATAAAATCCCTCGCTTTCGATCACATGGAGCAGAGACATCATTTCGAGCTAAATCGAAAGTGAATTGGGAGTGAATTCAGGAGTGCGCGCCTCTATAGCTCCCAGTGCGCCATCTAGCCGTCCTTCTCGGTACAACCCAGCACAGGCTCCTCGCGGTTTCCAATCCCCCATCGGAGCAACGTTTTTGGCAAACGACAATGTTTGGCACGCCGCCGCGAGCGAGGCGTGTCAGGCGCGGACCTGATCCGCTCTGGCCCTGCTGCGGCTAGAACTCGCGGCCCCTTGCGGTTGCGATCACAAAGAGCAAATCCTACATTGCGAGCCTAAATGTCGCAAAAGTGAATGGGTGAACTTCGAGGGAGACGCGCCATACTATACGCCAGTGGGTCAGAGGGGGCGTCTGCTCGTAAGACAGAAAGTCGCGGTAATCCCGCATGGAGTCCATCGGTTGCAAAGCGACGCGATGCGTTGCCATGGGAGAAGGATCGCTGCCCGCCTGCTGGACAAAGAGCCCTTGCTTTGCGATCACTTGAAAGAGCAGTATTACTGATTTTGGATCTTAAACCTGAAAATTTTCTTTAATGGAGTTTGAATTTCATAAGGATTGCGCGTCTTGCGTTTCTTATTCTGCTTCAGTGCTTATTAGTCGTCTGTTTCTCGTTATTACTAGATATTCTTGCGTGTCTTATATTCTTCTTTTTTCCATGGAGGCAACGTTTTGCAAAGCGAGCGATGGCGTTGGCCAGGGAGAGATCTTGGCCCCTGCTGACAAAATCCCTTGCTTTCGATCACAAAGAGCAGAGACATCATTTCGAGCTAAATCGAAAGTGAATTGGGAGTGAATTCAGGAGTGCGCGCCTCTATAGCTCAGTGGCAGAGCGTCTGTCTCGTAAACAGAAGGTCTGCGGTTCAATCCCGCATGGAGGCAACGTTTTGCAAAGCGAGCGATGGCGTTGGCCAGGGAGAGATCTTGGCCCCTGCTGATAAAAACCTGCTTTCGATCACATGGAGCAGAGACATTTCGAGCTAAATCGAAAGTGAATTGGGAGTGAATTCAGGAGTGCGCGCCTCTATAGCTCAGTGGCAGAGCGTCTGTCTCGTAAACAGAAGGTCTGCGGTTCAATCCCGCATGGAGGCAACGTTTTGCAAAGCGAGCGATGGCGTTGGCCAGGGAGAGATCTTGGCCCCTGCTGATAAAACCTGCTCGGTTTCGATCACATGGAGCAGAGACATCATTTCGAGCTAAATCGAAAGTGAAACATAAAGCAGAGACATTTTCGAGCTGAATCGAAAGTGAATTGGGAGTGAATTCAGGAGTGCGCGCCTCTATAGCTCAGTGGCAGAGCGTCTGTCTCGTAAACAGAAGGTCTGCGGTTCAATCCCGCATGGAGGCAACGTTTTGCAAAGCGAGCGATGGCGTTGGCCAGGGAGATCTTGGCCCCTGCTGATAAAACCCTCGGTTTCGATCACATGGAGCAGAGACATCATTTCGAGCTAAATCGAAAGTGAATTGGGAGTGAATTCAGGAGTGCGCGCCTCTATAGCTCAGTGGCAGAGCGTCTGTCTCGTAAACAGAAGGTCTGCGGTTCAATCCCGCATGGAGGCAACGTTTTGCAAAGCGAGCGATGGCGTTGGCCAGGGAGAGATCTTGGCCCCTGCTGATAAAACCTGCTCGGTTTCGATCACATGGAGCAGAGACATCATTTCGAGCTAAATCGAAAGTGAATTGGGAGTGAATTCAGGAGTGCGCGCCTCTATAGCTCAGTGGCAGAGCGTCTGTCTCGTAAACAGAAGGTCTGCGGTTCAATCCCGCATGGAGGCAACGTTTTGCAAAGCGAGCGATGGCGTTGGCCAGGGAGAGATCTTGGCCCCTGCTGACAAAACCCTGCTTTCGATCACATGAGCAGAGACATTTCGAGCTAAATCGAAAGTGAATTGGGAGTGAATTCAGGAGCGCGCCTCTATAGCTCAGTGGCAGAGCGTCTGTCTCGTAAACAGAAGGTCTGCGGTTCAATCCCGCATGGAGGCAACGTTTTGCAAAGCGAGCGATGGCGTTGGCCAGGGAGAGATCTTGGCCCCTGCTGACAAAACCGCTTGCTTTCGACACATGGAGCAGACATCATTTCGAGCTAAATCGAAAGTGAATTGGGAGTGAATTCAGGAGTGCGCGCCTCTATAGCTCAGTGGCAGAGCGTCTGTCTCGTAAACAGAAGGTCTGCGGTTCAATCCCGCATGGAGGCAACGTTTTGCAAAGCGAGCGATGGCGTTGGCCAGGGAGAGATCTTGGCCCCTGCTGATAAAACCTGCTCGGTTTCGATCACATGGAGCAGAGACATCATTTCGAGCTAAATCGAAAGTGAATTGGGAGTGAATTCAGGAGTGCGCGCCTCTATAGCTCAGTGGCAGAGCGTCTGTCTCGTAAACAGAAGGTCTGCGGTTCAATCCCGCATGGAGGCAACGTTTTGCAAAGCGAGCGATGGCGTTGGCCAGGGAGAGATCTTGGCCCCTGCTGACAAATTCCTGCCACTTTCTACTCACAAAAGCAAGACATTTCCCGATCTAAATCGAAAGCGATCACAAAGAGCAGAGACATCATTTCGAGCTAAATCGAAAGTGAATTGGGAGTGAATTCAGGAGTGCGCGCCTCTATAGCTCAGTGGCAGAGCGTCTGTCTCGTAAACAGAAGGTCTGCGGTTCAATCCCGCATGGAGGCAACGTTTTGCAAAGCGAGCGATGGCGAGTGGCTCCGGGAAGATCTTCCCGCCTGCTTGACACAATCCCGTCTTTCGAATCCACAAAGACAAAGACCAATCATTTCGAGCTAAATCGAAAGTGAATTGGGAGTGAATCCAGGAGTGCGCGCCTCTATAGCTCAGTGGCAGAGCGTCTGTCTCGTAAACAGAAGGTCGCGTTCAATCCCGCATGGAGGCAACGTTTTGCAAAGCGAGCGATGGCGTTGGCCAGGGAGAGATCTTGGCCCCTGCTGATAAAGCCTGCTCGGTTTCGATCACATGGAGCAGAGACATCATTTCGAGCTAAATCGAAAGTGAATTGGGAGTGAATTCAGGAGTGCGCGCCTCTATAGCTCAGTGGCAGAGCGTCTGTCTCGTAAACAGAAGGTCTGCGGTTCAATCCCGCATGGAGGCAACGTTTTGCAAAGCGAGCGATGGCGTTGGCCAGGGAGAGATCTTGGCCCCTGCTGATAAAACCTGCTCGGTTTCGATCACATGGAGCAGAGACATCATTTCGAGCTAAATCGAAAGTGAATTGGGAGTGAATCAGGAGTGCGCGCCTCTATAGCTCAGTGGCAGAGCGTCTGTCTCGTAAACAGAAGGTCTGCGGTTCAATCCCGCATGGAGGCAACGTTTTGCAAAGGGAGCGATGGCGTGCCAGGAGATACGTGTGGCCCCTGCTGACAAAAATCCCTGCTTCTCGATAAACAACAGCAGCAGGAACTATATTTCAGTCTAAATGAAAGGAGATTGAGTTGAATTAGAAATGCGCGCCTCTCAGTAGTCTGCGAGGTGGCAGAAGAGGCGTCTGTCTCGTGAAAAGAGATCAGAACGGTCTGCGGTCAGTTCCGCGGGCGAGAAGGCAACGTTTTGCAAAGCGAGCGATGGCGGTTGTCAGGAATCTTGGCCCCTGGGCTGACATAATCCCTTGTTTACGATCACACAAAGAGCAGAGACCATTCGACTACAAATCGAAAGCGAACACACAGAGCAGGGACATTTCGAGCCTAAATCGAAAGTGAATTGGGAGTGAATTCAGGAGTGCGCGCCTCTATAGCTCAGTGGCAGAGCGTCTGTCTCGTAAACAGAAGGTCTGCGGTTCAATCCCGCATGGAGGCAACGTTTTGCAAAGCGAGCGATGGCGTTGTCCAGGGAGAGATCTTGGCCCCTGCTGACAAAACTTGCTGCTTCGATCACATGGAGCAGAGACATCATTTCGAGCTAAATCGAAAGTGAATTGGGAGTGAATTCAGGAATGCGCGCCTCTATAGCTCAGTGGCAGAGCGTCTGTCTCGTAAACAGAAGGTCTGCGGTTCAATCCCGCATGGAGGCAACGTTTTGCAAAGCGAGCGATGGCGTTGGCCCCCGGGCGAGAGACTTGCCGCCTCGACAAATCCCTGCATTCGATCACAAAGAGGCAGATACATGTGGAGACATCATTTCGAGCTGAATCGAAAGTGAATTGGGAGTGAATTCAGGAGTGCGCGCCTCTATAGCTCAGTGGCAGAGCGTCTGTCTCGTAAACAGAAGGTCTGCGGTTCAATCCCGCATGGAGGCAACGTTTTGCAAAGCGAGCGATGGCGTTGGCCAGGGAGAGATCTTGGCCCCTGACAAAATCCCTTGCTCGATCACTCAAAGTGGAGCAGAGACATCATTTCGAGCTAAAT